ATCTTATTTATGATCCACTTTGACTAATATTCAAAATATGTATTGGCAATACTATTACCACAAAAGTCTGCCAAGTGACGCTGGTGTCATTACGAATAATCGCCAAGTTAGGAAAGGTGCCGTGGATGTCAGATTAAATCGAACTGTTGCACCAATGAGTATATCGAATGCTTGTGTGTTACAAGTGGCCCAATGGATGTGGTTTGCCAGTATTATTGTGGTTTAAATTCTTATTGTGGCTTCATTCCGAGACACCAGGGCTGAGTTGTGCAGGAGTAAATCTCAAATCACCACCGATAAATCAACCGCCAGAACCATTGCGCGCCTTTTACTGTAATATTTAATTTGGAATAATTGAATTTAATTTTTAAAAAGATGGAAACCCTCGCGAAAGACTTAAATATTATTCAAAACTTTTAAGCTAAAGGTTTCTTAACAATATTTCGTTAGACAACCATATTTTAATTCTTGAGATAGCTTGCGTATAATTAATTTAAATTTGACTTTTCAAACAGGTGGCAACCCTTTTCAAAATATATTCGAACTACTGCTTTTTTAAGCCTCTTGACATCAATTTTTTAAAATAAATTTCAAACAAATAACTCCCTAAATTACAGTTGAATTTGATTTTTTTATAAGGTGGCAGCTCTTATCCATGAGTAGATAATGATTTTATATATCTCCATACCAAGTTCCAGAAATCTATCAAAAACATTTCCTGAGAAATGCAGTATGAAATATTCCGTTTGTATTGGAGGTGCCACGCCCCCTTGTCTAATCGAGAGTAAACTTATCCTATATTTTAAGTTGGGCTAAATGACAGCAGTGTACAAAATTTCATGATGATCGGTTGAGTAGTTAAAGCGTGAAAGCGTAGCAAACAAACAAACTCACTTTCGGGTTTATAATATTAGTAAGGATAGTAAGGATTGATATTTACAATATATGTACATAATTGAAGATACTGGAATCGTTATTTTGGAACCATATATGCGCTCTAAAAGAACAAGCTGACCGTAAGATGTACGGTTTAAATACTTTAATTTTTTTGTATACAAGGGCGTAGCCAGCCTTTCACCTAGGGGGCAGGAGTTTATATAGAGGGAGAAAGTGTTTTTAATTAAATTTTTTTTCTTTGTTTATATAAATATAAATTTTTGGGATTAAGAAAGTATAAATTTTCTGGTATCCTTTGCAACGATACCAATTTTTTAAAAATCGGTTTGTAATTTTTTTTGTTTAAAATATTTTTTTTTATAAAAAAAGGTAGTTTTTGCTTTTAAGTGTTGTTTCTCAAATTTTTATAAACCAAGTATACAAATACGCATATCAGAAGAAAGAAGGTTTGATTGCGTTTACAACGATATCAACTTTTTAAAAATCGATTAGTAACTGTTTTGTTTAAAATATTGTTTTTATAGAAAAAAGGTATTTTTTCGTTTTAAATGTTTTTTTTTTCAAATTTTTACATAAAGAGTATACAAATATGCATATCAGAAGAGAAGAAGGGGGTTTACTCAGGTTTACAACGATACTAGGGTTGCCAGATTTTTTTGGCGCGAAATCAGTACATTCGACTTTTTCATGCTATACAAATCAGTACTTTTCAGTACACTTTTATTCCAAGCAGAATTATGAATGTAAGTAGCAGATAATACTTTGAAACGCCAGAGTACTTGTTTTTAATAATATTTTGGTATGGGTAAGGCTTCCTCAAGTGGGCCCCGTATTTACCAAGATTATACTATTATTACCAAGAAAAGCAAAAAAAAAATTTCTAACGCAAATAATTTCATTGTATAGTTTAATGTTTTTTAAATCTGCACCCAAAAAAATTTGTTCATTCGGACACTTACTTTCAAAGAAAAATAAAAATTTCCAAAACACTGCAAAAATTTTCAATTGTTGATAAAAAACTATTTGGAATTTTGCAATAAAATTTACACAGTGTACTTTTCGACTATAAAACTCGGCGCTGCCTGAATGTTATTTAAAAATATTAATCTTGGTAAATTCGGGGCCCATTTGAGGAAGCCTTACCCGTTTATAAATAAAATGTTGTTCATAAAAAATAAAAATGTTATTAATTTTTATATGAGTATACACATTAACATGTAGTACGAGATACCTTTATAATATTACAGGAGCCAATAAATTATTTTATGTACATGCAATTTTTTAAGAGCTATAATGAGATCATTTCCACTTTCAGCGTTTAAATAGTCGAAGAACTCTAAACATTATACATATTTTAATATTACTTTTAATTTAAAGTTCACTTTCTTAAATTTCAATTAGAAGTCGGTTTCTCTCTTTTCGCCAGGAAGCAAACTTTATATTTAAGTTAGTTCCTCTCAGGTGCTTCGTTTCTTCGTGGTATTGAAAAAACAAAATTACATATTTATTCAAACTGTGGAAAGAGACCTCTATTTAAGGACTGCATCCGTATTTCCTCATGGCTTAAATTATTTTTTCAACTGCGCAAAAACTTTGAAAGACTAAGAATTCGCCAAAAAGAGTATCTAAATTTAGTCAGTAAATTGAGAAAAAAGAATTGTAAGTTGTAGGCAAAGCCATTCAATTATTCAAATTTGTTGTTATTAAACTGAAAGTTATTTTCGAGAAAACTAACAACACTCGACAAAAAACGGCAGCCCTCTGGTAGATAATGACACGCAATATGCCCATAAAACGATTACTCTTTTATATTAATTTCTTGCGCATATCAAACATTACTGAAAACAAGTCAACTATAATTAAATTATTTTCTTCTTACTTTTTACAGTAAATTTTAAGAAAGTTGCAACGATATGTAAAAATCTTAAGCAAATCTTAAAGTATTTTGTTTGTGTCAAATAATATTACACAAACAAAATACATGGGCAAAAATTTCCGATCACCGAGTTACCGCGTACCAAGCTGGGAAGAACCCTATTACAAATTTGATTGCTCAGAATTGAAAAATCAGTACAAATCAGTACAAATTTAAAAAAATCAGGACAATAGCGTACTGATTGAAGGTATGAATAAAATCAGTACGAAAGTTGAAAAATCAGTACGGTACTGATAAAATCAGTACGTCTGGCAACCGTAAACGATACCAACTTTAAAAATCAGTTCAAAATTGTTTGAAGTATAAGGTTTTTAATTTTTCGAAGACCCGACCTTTGTCCCCTTGTAGCACCTGTAATATAAGTTTGCAAAAAAAGTTATAAACCATTTAAATAAGAGCAAAAGGCGGTCTGCGACTGTATTTTTAGTTTTTTATTTATTTACATATAATAATAAAAAATAATATTTTACCAAAGATCCTATTTCGAACTTCGAAGACCCATATCTCATTTTCGGAGGCTAACTTCGAAAAACGGAGAAATTACTTTTTTACCTATGACTCAATCTCTTAAAAAAAAGTTGGTTTGGTCCAATACCCAGCCGAGTGCTGTACAGTGTAGTGATTCCAGTACCTTCATTTATGTATATTGTAACTATCAATACCTTATAAGGAGAAGTGTACATTTTTTTTTATCTAAACCTTAATGGTAGAAGGACGAAAATCGAGGATGTGGTATTAGTCCTTGACATATATTTTTTTCAAAAATAAATATTGGAAATTTCCAAGGATATTCAAGGATAAGATTCTAAAAGGACATTTTCAACAATATTCGTCCTGGTGCAACAAAAAATTATTTTTTTTTGTATTCTACAAAATTTTCCTTTTTAACTGATACCAATATTGTTACTTTACAATGCACCAAATCTTTTAAATCATTTTTTTATTCAATCATATCCCAGAAATTTCAAAGTCCTTTAAAAAATCCTGACGTCAGAGAGAAAAATTAAAAATGCAGTTATACTATATTTGGCTCCTAGTTTTGTGAATATATTGATTTTTTCGTGTGTTTTAAAAACTTATGGTGATTGTCGCACGGTGTAATGTATTCCATAGCTTGTTTTGCCAATTGTATTTACCGTTAGGACACATAATTAACGATTTTGGCATCATTAGCTGCACTTCTGATATAAAAAACACTCAAAAACGACAAATTCCACAAAAGCTTCTGATAAAAGTAAAAAATTTCACAGCTAACTTGCACCTACAATTACAAGCATTGTATACTGTTGTTGTTGGAAAAAATGGTTTTCCTTAAGCAGTAAAAAAAGTTAAATAAAAAAGGTATTTTATAAAATATGTATTATAATCATGGCACAAACAACTATATTATTAACAAAAATCGCAAAATTATTTATTAATAAGAATAAAACGACAAGCGACGTTAATTTATAACTTAAAAAAATTAGTAATAATTCGGCGAACGAAAGAAAAGCCAATTTTGCGCTTGTCCGAAAGCTACTGCGCTGCGTTAAAAGTCAAAATTTGTATGCTACATTGTGGACTGGTTTATAATGAGTATTTTAAGAAAGATATGTGTGGTAAGACAGAGTTATTGGATTTTATAATAATAAGCCATAACTTCAAAAAAATAACTACGACAACAAGTAACATCTAAATTGAATCTTTTTTTTATTACCTGAAAATTTGGATAAATAAGAGCCTAATAACTTTATAACAGAACATTAAAAGTCTATACGGCTAAAGTAGTTTTCTAAGATTTTCAGAAGATGGAGACTTTTGAAAATTTGTAAATAAGTATGATAGCGACTTTTGCAAGAGTTGTTAACATTTGATCCTATTTTTTCAGAATAAAGAAAGATGTATTGTTAGTGGACATGCAACTACCTTAGATACTTAGATACTAAAAATTGAAAAAATTTTACATAGCGCACTTTGCAAATGGACTACTCATAAGATTTAAAGCGTTTGGCTTTTCTATTTTTCTCGTCGTAATTATTCACTTTGTCCTTATGTGCGCCGTAAATGACCACAAAGTCAAATTCAAAACGATTAAAAAGTCAATTGACCTTGTGACCATTTCAAACGAAAATAATTTCCATTGATCCATAACATAAGTTAAGTTGTTGTGTACATTTTCTAATTATAGAGCTACCATGTCAAAGCAAGAAAAGTTGAAAACTGGATCCGCGGATAGTTGGTTTGAAGGATGGTTTAGTCGCCAAAAGATGAAAAGCAATAGTAGTAATGCCACCATGCCTGTTAAATCAAATATAATAGATAATAATGAAGTCATTGACCTGCAAGAGCTTGAAAATAAAATTCGAGCCTTAAGCGCCTCCGAAATAGATTCGAAATTTCTGGAAATTCTTGAAGATATGAATATTCCGAAAGATAAACGTGAACCACTTCTAATGAAAACGCTGGCTGAAAAGCGCAAAATGATATTTATGCACCTAAAAGGTAAGTTTAAAATATTTGTATACATATGTACATCTTTTCAACGGTGAAAGTGAATAGCTTTCAATCGGGGGAATCGCGGACCCGGTCATTACTTATATACCCTTCTAATGAACTGATTAACATTTTGACCAGTTTTGCTTTTTTCTTTTGGTTATTTAATGTTTATAGTTTTTTTTATAAAAGTCTAGCACATCACATAACCAGAACCACATAAATCCAAATCTCAAACTTCGTACAAAAATTATAAAAATTCAAAAACTTTAACAATTACACCCAAAAATATTAAACTTTTTGTTCAGAATTTTTAGAAAAATTCTAGGTGTGCATTTTCGTAGCCCATTAAATTTACGTAGGTAAAAGTGAAAATTTCAAGATGTAAGGAAATCGTGTTGATTTTTAATAATTTTTTTGGCTGACGGTGCTAGGCATTTTCTTCTATATAAAAGGCACTATCCTAATATAAAATTTCAGTGAATTGAACCCCTACTTGTCTTCTTATATTTTTTAATAACCAATCTAAAAACCACACTAAAAGCCCCTTTTCGGATTTTTTTTTATAATAAAGCCACCATTTTTGTTGTAGTTTTTGCTTATTTTATATTTGTGGTTCTTAGTTTTATTGTAAGACTTCAAGATCACACCGAAAAGTGAAATAAATTCGCAGAGTTTCCGTAAAATATATCTGTTCCAAAAGCAGGTTCCTTTTTTTGTCCCACCCGTGACAGAAGAAATAACTCAGATTTTTCATATAAAAGTAAGAAGGAATTTTTTCGTATTTTATCTGTAGCTTTATCAAAATGTAGAATTGTTGAGTTTTTTATACTTAAAGTTAAACAAAAAAGAAAATTTTTTCTGACAAATGTCCCACCCGTGACGGTGGAATCGCCCATATGCAACTGTGCATGTATGTATGCAATACTTCGTTTTTCACATATGCATTATTTCGGGTTTCAACCGAAATTGTACATGGATGCATTATTTAGATTTTTGTTATATGTAAGTGTGCATATGGATAATTTCGTTTTTTCTAACATAAATTACTTCTACTTAGTAAGGGTTATAATAACTAGCGCGGCCTAAGGCCGCCTACAGAGAAAGAAGTTCTACAAATACTGCCGCTAGCACGTAAAAAGAAGTTCTGCGCAAAAATACTTCCGCCCTTCTTTTCCGGCAACACAGAAAGGAGGATTCTACTTAGTAAGGGTTATAATTCCTAAGCGCGGCCGAAGGCCGCCTACAGAGAAAGAAGTTCTACAAATATTTCCGCTCCCCTCTTCCGACAACACAGAAAGGAGAAGTTCTGCGCAAACATACTTCCGCCCCTCTCTTCCGGCAACACAGAAAGGGATAATTCTACTTAGTAAGGGTTATAATCCATAATCGCGGCCCTAAGGCGGCCTTCTGCCTACGTAGACAGAAGTTCTGCACAAAAGTACTTCCGCCCCCTTTTCCGGCAACACAGAAAGGAGAATTCTACTTCGTAAGGGTTATAATCCTTAAGCGCGCCTACGCAAAAAGAATTTCTGCGCAAAAATACTTCCGCCAAAAATACTTTTCCGGCAACGCAAAAAGGAGAATTCTACTTAGTAAGGGTTATAATCCCTAATCGCGGCCCTCTGCCTACGTAGAAAGAAGTTTTGCGCAAAATTACTGCCGACCCCTCTTTTTCGGCAACACAGAAAGGAGAATTCTACTTAGCCTGGATTATAATTCGTAAGCGCGGCCGAAGGCCGCCTACGCAGAAAGAAGTTCTGCGCAAAAATACTTCGGCCCCCTTTTCCGGCGACACAGAAATGAGAATTCTACTTAGTATGGGTTATAATCCCTAAGCCGAAGGCCGCCTAGCCAGAAAGAAGTTCGTTTTCATGTGTTCTAGGTAAATTCATCCCAGAGAACTCATCCCAAAACAACTCATCCCGGAAAATGTAACCCAAAAAACGTCATCCCAATACAAACTCATCCCAGTAAATTCAACCCAATAAATATCGTCCCAATACAAACTCATCCGGATAGAAATTTATACATATGATTATATTGTCATATATTTATATTTTCAGCACAATGTCATTAAATATACTTTTCATTCGTAATTGCTCCACATACATATATACATATAGGCAAAATTTATATCGTGTTTTCAAAAATAAACATTTCGAGCAACATGTTCCAAAAACTCTACAACTAGCTCTTTGTCGTACTTCATTACTACTCTCTCCAATCGAGCTTCATAGTCCACATACTTCCTCTTTTTTTAGGACACTCACGGCCGGCCTCTTGCTGATGAATTTTTAACTCTGTTGTACCCTGTTCTGCTTTTAATAAGTTTATAAGTTTCCAGATGGAGACATGACTGGCTGGTGCACGAACTGAAAAAGCATTGTGCCACCCCTCACAAGCATTATTTGTGCGTGGCTCAAAGTTTTTTACGGAATCGTAATAATTCTATAATAAGTAATCAAACCGAGGCAGCCTACGAACACCACGACGATTAACTTCACCGATCCAAGTTCCCTCATAATAATCCAAGAGTGGATTCAATAATTCTTTGATTATGTCATAAAAGTATTGTAAGCCACAGGGATATCTCCATGTGGAACAAATCGCACACGATCTTCAAAAGTGAAATAACTCAAAATTTGGCATTTTTGAAATCAAGCACTAAAAATGCACACAGAGCTTTTATTTACATTTCAGCAAAATCTGGAGCAAATTTTTGTTATTTTTTGTTGAAAAAACCTAAGATAAAGTCTTCCTTGCCCATATGATTAGCATCTGCTAAGAAATAGTTTTTCTCATTTTCTGACGAACGTGTAATTTCGAGTTGTGTCACTTTTGAAGATCGTGTGCGAAATGCCATCGAATTATGGTTATTTGTGATAAAAAACCCGTATTAAAAAAAAAAAAAAAAAAAATTTTATAGGTCGCGCTGGACGGTTTTTTTTATAAAAAAGCTGATGTTCTAAATTTTTTTATTTTCGTGACATGTTAAAGTGCAGCTAAACATGTTGCTTTTGCAACAATAAAAAACTTTTGTACATACCTATTGATTTGCACATACAAATGTTAATATGTACTCGATGGTATATACTTATACATATACATATGTATGTACTTATACCTGTAATATAGATACATACATACTTATATGTATCACGATGTGCAGTGTGACCAGATGGACGAAAAAGCGAAGCTAAATTCGTTTTTAAAAAAGGTTAGAAAAAGTTATTTAATTTAATTGTAGCGATTTTCTGTAAATAACTTTTTAAATCATTCACATCAAAACACAAAATAGCATCTATCAGACCAATAACGGCAACATAATTTCAATATATGCAAAAACGAGTTCAGTTTAGGATAAGAAAAATGCAAAAGTTTTAATATTTTCTACATCAGAGTACACAAGTATGACACGAAGAAATCAAATTGCAAAATACAGTGAAAAGCAAATTTCTTAGTAAATATGTACATTTTTTAAAAAGTTAAGAAAGTATTTTCTCAAAGAAAAGGTACTTAGCACTGTTATTGTAATATTTCAACGGCATATAGTAGTTTTAGAAATATTAAAGTTTTTATTAATCCTAGTTACTTATTTTCATAGTTCCGATTCGAATTATATTATGAATATTTTAAGTAAAAAAGGTCAGAAAAAAAACCACGAAATCAGATCAAAATTTCTGAGGCTATGGCATTAAACTAAATGTTTATCTGGTCACACTGACGATGCGGATTCTATCATTCTTGTGTATGTACATATTTTTGTATTTCAACAAGCTTTGCGGTGATTATAAAATTGCTTCTCGCACACAAATTAATGCATTTTTTCGCTACTCTGATATGTATATAGTACCAACTTTCGCGTTTTGTATATACTACATACATATGTATGTACGCATTTGTGTTTTTTCATAAATGTCTACATAGCTTGACTGCAGCAGTTGCAATTGTTTATTCATAGAGAAAAGTATACATACATATGTAATAACTCATAAAATAATTTTACTACGAAAATATTGCATTTTATAACAGTACGTACAAAGATGCATTTTTAAATATGCAAAATTCCGACAGCATTTCATCATCTTAAACGAAAAATATATATTTACATCTTTTATAATACTCAAACTGCCCTGCCGTTCGAGNTTTGAGGAGAAAATGCGCTTCGCGAACCAACTTTGTTATTAACAGTTTCCACTCTGCATCGTTCTCGGCCTTTCTTTATAATCAACCTTCTCTTAAGTTACCTCACCCATTCTCACTAATTGCGATCCCATCTTCACATTCTTGTATGCTATCATACTATATGTATGTGGAGCAATTACGAATGAAAAGTATATGGAATGACATTGTGCTGAAAATATAAATATAAGACAATATAATCGTATGTATAACTTTCTATCGGGATGAGTTTGTATTGGGACAATATTTATTTGGTTGAATTTACCGGGATGAGTTTGTTTTTGGGATGAGTTTGTTTTTGGGATGAGTTTGTATTGGGACATTTTGTTTTGGGACGAATTGTAGCGGGATTAATTTGTGGGACCAATTTACATGGGATATATTTACCGGATACCGTTTTCATTATGCATTACTTCGTTTTTCTTATGTGCATTACTTCGGTTTTGAGTCGAAACTGTGCATGTATACATTACTTCGCTTTTCTCATATGCATTATTTCAGTTTTCAAACGAAGGTGTGCATATGCATAATTTCGGTTTTTTCTAATATGCATTATTGCGGTTTTCAACAGAAACTGTGCATGTATGCAATATTTCGGTTATAAACCGAAACTGTGCATATATGCATTATTTCGGGTTTTTCGTATGAATTCTTTCGGTTTTTTTCATATGCATTATTTCGTATGCACAGCTTCCCTTTGCACAATTTCAGGGTGCCCTTTCAATCATACTGCGAAAATTAAAATACATACATACATAGGTTAACACATAGGGTCGCAAGTGAAAATAAAAAAGGAACATGTTTGCCTAGGAAAGCCCCTAAAA